GGGGGGGCTCAGTGATACTGAAAAGTGAGCGTTTGACGGACGCAAGTAGAGAAGTGAAATTTAGTATGAAAGCTGTTTGTACATGCTATTATTGGATGAAGTCAAATTTTTATAGCGGCACCTATAACACTTGACTGTAACACTAAGACTGAAATCGATCCCGTCAAAAAAAAAACGATAAATTATTGTTGATCGAAGAGCATATAGGACAAGTTGAAACCAGGTACCTATACGTATAATTCATGTGCGACTTAATGATTCGAGGTAATTTGGAAAACAAAGGATTATAATGAAACAGTAAACGCTTAATATATTGATACAATCACATTCAAATTACGATAGGTAGACAAATTGGAACAAAAAACAAACAACCCTCTTAAATATAATGGACCAGAGCTCTTGCTCAGAAGCGTTGAACAAAAATGAAAAGAAACAAGACTTAACAAAGAAACTATAAAATTTTACAAAAAGTAGGAACAATCAGTATAGGCACCATAGCACGAAAAGTCTCTTCAAAAACATACGGTAAACTCACACGATACAAATATAATACATGGTAACAACATCATAATAAAAAATACCGGGTTATAAGAGGCGGAAAAAAAAAACAGTCTTCAAAATATATTCAAGGAGAGAAGAAAATCAGTCTTTAAAGTATGAAAATGCAGTCAGGCATACGAAATATATTAACATCTAAAAATATAACAAATTATCAGTTTACTGAGATCAAATGATAGAACAGGAACTTACGCGACCAGGACTAAACGCAATTTTGGATCATCTCTAATTTTCTTCAGCACTTTCTGGGCAATCAATTGAAAGTGGTCCACACATAGTGGCTAGAGAGGAGAGTTGGGGCTCCAAAATATAATCTTCTAAATCCTTGTCTCTCTTTGTACCTTCATTTTGAAAAGGAGGCTAAGAATGGGTCAGATCTCAACACCAATCTATTCATCAGGTCTGTATTTGAATGCACTCTGGTATCTTTTCGCGTGTGATCTTTCCTCTCTCGTTTGGTGTCTTTATGGGTTGACTCTAACCCATCCTCACCCATCCGACCAATCGGCAGTTCAAAATGAAGGATTATAGCCGGGCCATGGACTAAAATCTTATGCACTGTAACGGACATCTTGTACCAAGAGTATACAGTTCTAAATAGAGATCGAAAGTCGTGTTCGTTAAATTTTGAAATTTTTGGATATTCAGGTAATCTTTACAATTTAACAATCTTAAAATCAAATAAAAATTTTTGAGGAGTTCCTCGCTAAGGCCATTGATGGCAGCACTGATTCTATAATTTTTAAAAAACGTACGGGCAGTGTTCCCGTCATTTGTGGATCCATAGCCTTGTTTTGGTTTTGAAATTGAAAGAGCTAGTTGACTTTTAAAATCACTTTGGATTTTTAATTTCGTTTCATTGTTAGTACTCAAATACGGCGCAGTTTTCTGCCACTGCTTAAACTTTAATCTGTAGGCGATGCTTAGGCAACATTCTAAACATCGGATCCGGCAATGTAGAACTGACATCCCATACTTATACTTCTCAGAATCTGGTACCCGGTTAAAAACGTTTTTGGAATTCATGTCATTAGGTTTGGCACCACAAATACTGCATGTTGCCGTTGAATTTGTCTCTGTTATGGTATTTAAAACGCCGCCATCCGTCATGGTTAAATGAAAGGAGGAGTATCGTTTTGGCCCTTTTCCGGCCCCACAGATATATTTTTTAAATCTCTGTTTAAATACATTATCACATCTCATTTACCAATCACGTGGTTCGTTTCTGACATGAAAGGACGGACGCCATATTTGTCGTTAAATTTGAAGTCTAATTGAGTAGAAATCAAATAGATTATGAATTTGAAACATCATTCTAACAACTTATCAAAAAACATGGCTCAACTCATGCATGCACACTGGCTCTCTTAGGTCTCACGTATAGCTGTTGTAAAAACAAGCCAATATGCTGCTCAGTGCGCGCCTGAGCCCTGACTTAAGGTCACAAAAATGATGATTCCGTCGATTTAGGGCTGTTTAGGGCTAAAAACTAAACATATTCTGAATCTGGAAGGTATTCTGAACAACATATCAAAAAATTACGTTGATATATTTTGATATATTTTTTTAATCTCTGTTTAAAGATGGAAAGATGGAAAGATGGAATGAACCAATTTTTTCGCATCATCAAAGAAATACCCTACTGAATGGTTCTGAATTTGAAAAATAAAAATAATGAAAAGAGTTTTTGTGAAGAAAAACTTACCTCACAACTAGGTATGCCAGTTTGATCCATCCTCTGCACGCTGATAGCAAGTATCACCTGTCACAACCCATGATGCGCGCTGCGCAATTTCTGTTATCAGTGCATCCGCGCGGTCACCGTGGTTTCCCCTCCTCTCCCCTCCCTCCAATGATATTTTCATGTCAACAAACTCCGAATTTTTTCCCCCTGACTATCCTTCTCTTCAACCCACCGGTCATTTTCATCATCCATCAAAGTCGAATTTTTCGAGTTTTGTCCATGGGACACTGCACTGTGCGCCGTGCCGAGGGCTTGTCCTTTTCATCTCAAGTCCTCGCCATCATTCTTCTCTGCGCTGAGCTCCAGGCCAAATTGCGTGTTTAGTTCCTCTCTTAACTCGACTAATTAAAGATGCTGTCTCTTTTATCACCGAAGAACGATAAAATTAGAAATAACAGTACTCTCAGGAAAGAAAGATTTTGTCCCCTTTTCTCATTGATAATTTTTTTTCTGAATCCGATTGTTTTTATACCTACATTTAAAAAAATTGCAGAATTTGCCGCCATGGGCCGCGGCCCATGTGGCCACCCCCTTAATCCGGCCCTGGGATCTGTGCCTTTGAGATCCTAACTTCTTTGCCGTTAGACCTTAATCCAGCCCTGCAAAATACCTGATTTGACTAATTGCCTGCGACACAAACCGAAACGGCCAAATTGCGAAACCGGATACCTCTTTCGACGCAGTAGACTTCCTGTCCTACTTCATTTTTTTTTTTGAAAAACTAATCAATCTCCTTAATTTTTCTTCCCTGTGTGCAAAATATTACGTATAAATATTATNTTTTGTATGAAGATTAAAACAAAATTTTAGTTTAAAGTTTACTAAATAAAATTACAATTTTTGAAAACATTTGTTATATTTATTCTCTCAAAAAAATAATTAGACCCGATTCAAAGACAAAACAGAAAATTAAATGAAAATAAATAAAAAAAAAAAAACATGTGAAAGTGAAAAGTGTACAGGAAAAATAAGGGGCTGCGAAGCAGCCCCATAAGCCCCTAGTATAATATAAATAATTAATATATTTATAAATATAAATATTATTAATATTATTAAATTTCAAGCTTTAAAGTTGGCTTGTTTCTCCTCAAAAAATCGAAGTTGGAGCGAAAATTTTGAAACGCCGCAATGGAGGTACGTGGTTTCGGTCTTCGTCGATCGATTCGATTTCAATATTCCTACTTTGGCATGTCGATACCCAAGTCACAGGTTGTAATAAATTGCAACAGCATGGTATATATGGACTTCATTTGGCAATTCGGAACTATAATCCCTAGCTCATCTGTAAAAACACTTATGTGCACAGGGAAACTGATAGTACATACGTTGTTTTTAAATCATTAAACCGAGCTAGAAATCATAGTTCCAAATTGCAAAATGCAGTCTATTTACGCGTCAGAGTCATTGAAGTGCTATGAGTGTTGCTCATCTACTGATTGAAGGGGCTCCTCTTGTCGAAAATGATTAGTCTCTACATGGTCGGGCTCATCCCATCTGCCTCCGATAATTGATGAGTAGATGCCTGTTTTGATGTCTGTGGTTGATTCCATCGGTTCAAAATATGCTGTATTGCGATCGTTTGCACGAATTTAAAACTACAACAATCAATTGAAAATGTCCATATCATCAAACACATTGCGGCACTGCCACAATTTTAGGGGATAACCCCTAATACTTCTTGTTTCGTTTCATAATATCACACTGACAAGAAATGTTAGTAGAATTTACCATTCCTTCATGCTGTATTTTACACAGGGTTAATTCATGCAGAGTCAATTCTGCCAGAAGAATGGTAAACGTTTCTATATACTGGCACACTGCCGTGCTAAGGAAGAATGCTGTATGAACATTCGAGAGTTGCAAAATTTCCTTCGATAAAATGCCTAGTTTTGAGGGAAGTTATGAATATTTTTCTTTGAAATTTTCAGGAGATTTAGGTGAAATTGCAAACATAATCATCTGAAAAATTGGGAGAAAAATACTCATAAGTTTACCAGGAAATCCGTGTCTTATCAAAGGAAATTTGGCAACGCCTGAAGGTTCATACGGCGTTCTTCCTTAGCACGGCAGTACAGCCCTGAAAAAAATAAATTGCTGATTCAACCATTCAATTGCTAGAAACAGTGAGTGCAATGTTTCAACGTAGATTTTACAACCCAAAAATGCCACTCTAACCACATTGTAAACTAATTTAACCACTGGGGTGGTTAAAGTAGCATTTTTTTGTTGTAAAATCTACATTGAAACATTGCACTCACCGTTTTTAGCGATTGAATTGTTGAATCAGCAATTTAATTTTTTCCGTGAGGTAACCATTCCTCTCGCAGAATCGACTTGAAGATTGGCAGATTTTACCAATCCTTTACGCTGCATTTCCACAACGTGAAGGAATGGTAAATTCTACCAATTTTTTTTTTTTTTTTTTTTTTTTTTTTTTTTTCAGCGTGAATGCGGATACAAATACATATCCAACAAATCCCCAATTAATATTTCAATTTGTTAATCAATATTGTGTTGATTCATCACACACCAGGAAATTCAGACCGCAACCGACTGGTCGATCAATTGACGTCAAGAGTGCCATTGCGAGCACTGCTGTTAGCATCCACTTTAACAGGACCTACACCACCGGCACTACCACCGCAACCATCATCACGAACGGCATCACCAACCCCACCACCACCACCCTCACCATCATCACGGGCGACATCACCACCACAATCACCCCCACGATCTCTACCTCCACAATCGCGCTTGGCAGGATTACGGCCCTCTCCGATCACACCTCCGCCGCTGCAAGCGGTATTATCAGGGCCATCGCCGGGGCAACAGGCGTCAACGCCGAGGTCGCCGACTTCACAGATGATAGAACGAGTGGACGGCCTTCTGGAGTTGTACCAACCCGAGGCCGACGAGCCGGTGCCGTCGTGGTTGAGAACGGTCCTCCTCAACATGATGACCGACCCTGCCGAGAGGTTCGGAGCCTCGCTACACTCGCCGAACATGCATGTCCATGTTCGTCCGACAGGTGAGTTCACATAAGATAAGATATATTGGAGATGTTGCATGTGTGAGGAATTTGCGATTTGACTGTTGATTCTTATGTAACAGTTCGCGAGAAACACGATGGTGCCACTGGTTTTCTCAGAAATCATCTCCCAAGCTCAAAAACAGCTCTCAAGTTGAGGCCAAAATGGAGGGGATATCCCACGCTATCCTGAGAGCACCTCTACAACAGGACAAACTCTCTATGCAAAGATAGGGAGCAAATACATCAGCAGTGATGCCGTGTTTTCAGTTTCTCCACTGAGTTGAAACAAGAACAACGTTATGCCATTCGCTATCGCGCTTGCCGTGGCCTTTCTGACTTCGGTACTTTAAATGAGATGACAGCTGCTTATGGACTAAATCGACTTGGGAAAAGTACCATTCTTCGTCGGCATAAATGCTTTTCCGAGGGTCGAAAGTCGGCAGCTTTGTTTCAACTCAGCGGGCGAACTCATTGCGCTTCGCGAGAAAACACTCGGTCACGCTTGATGGTTTCGGCTGCACTGAGCTTTCCCGCGGACGATTGCGATGAAAACACTTTTTAACAGGATTAAACCTGCATCCAGAACAGTGACCACTTCATCCCTCCACCTGATCCACAGTGTCGCGATCTGCAGCGCCACTCAAAAACTGTTCGCGAAATGAAAAATGTTACTCGAAAATAGTGGAGGGCTCCGTTCACCTCGTCCCCCAAAAAAATGTTATAACTCGGTGAGTTTTCAGCCGAATAATCTCAAACTTTGAGGTTTGATAGCTAATAGTATGGACTACAACCTCTCACAAACCGCATTTCGATATCTATCATACTTTCCGCATTACAGACTTGGTCTCAGTTGTTTCGGGACACCCTATGTAGTAAGTTCTCATTTTTCTGGAGGTTCTTTGAATCACAGTAAATGATCTTAATTTTTTTTTCATCAGGGTCACCAGTATCGAGCACAGTTAGCCCTACGCCCAACCGAACACCGAGAAGTCCCAACCGTTCTCTACCACCGTCTCCAGGGAGCAAGTCATTGAGCGGCGATGAATCTTGTTCTGACGACCATCCAGAGGGTACGTTTCTAAATATTCCCCTTTACATATGTTTAAAAAAAACCAGTGCAATATATTTCAGAGGTACCGCACTGCTATTCTTTTTACAGGGCAATACAGTGGCGAGGTGTGAATGATCGATTTACCGATATTCTCCATTTGAAGCTGTGATATAAAGAATCGATTATTAAGGTGTTTATTGCGAACACCTTGTTTGTCATAGGTTTAAATGGTTGATTGATCGATGTATCGCAAAGCACTTGAAAACTTGCAATTGTACGCGGAGAAAAAAACATCTTGCGTGGGACCCGAAGTTTAGGTCATATGGATCTCTGAAGTTTTCGGATTGAGTATCTGAACACTTGAGGTCTAGCTGTCGAGGTTCGGATCACACATCTGAAACTTCAGTTCTTACATCTGANCGAGGAACTTGTTCCCGGAACAAGTTTTTTGCTGAGCTGAAACTTATTCCTCCAAAACCTGGAATTTCCCCCGTGCTCCGAGCTTCTAAATATGTTTCTTTTGATGTGAATTTGCTTGTTTTTGTTTTTCACGTCCTTTACATATGATCTTGACATTTATTTTTGTTACTTTGGCGGTCATAATAATCTATTATTTTGCAATAATTGTATAGTTTTATTGAAGTTCCGGTTCCAGTTCGGACGAACCCGTGTGGACAGCATGCCTCGTTTCAAGGAATAAGTTCCGGGAACTGAGCAAGTTCGAGGAATAAGTTCCGCGAACTGCGCTCGTGTGGACAAGGCCTTAAACTGGGACCAAGGCCGCAAATAATAAAAAAAACACATAAAATATAACAGAGAACCCGGGACGTTTCGCAGGGATTACACCCGCATTTTCAACCGGCAAAACAAGAAAATTAAAAGAAAGACACTATGAGCCTCACCGTTGTTATTGTGAGACTGATGGTGCAACCAAACTAAACGAGTAAGTGCAACTTGAAACAAAGCACATCGAAACAGATTATTCACGTGTTTCAGCTCCATCTAGGCCCGAAAGGAAGAACTGGTGATAAATGCTACTGAGTCCATCCATATCAGCGCAGTTATTATTTGATGTGTTCTTTTTATTATTTGCGACTTTCGTCCCGATTTAAGTTGTTTTTTTTTTGTCAATGTTTCGGGCCGACTATGTTGTTTCTTCTTTCGAAGTGAAAACAGGGTATGTACATCGGCAGACTCATGTCTTTACACGAAAAAGAACCCGTGATTTCCACTCAAAATTTTGCTGATTTCTGACGATTATCTACGGACAAATCTGGGAAATTTTCAGGAACAATTCCTCCCGAAAATTCTTTGTTTTTCAGAGAAAACTTGGCAACGTCTGAAGGTTCATATGGCGTTTTTCTTTCGAATATCCTTTCGGATTGCCCTTCCGGATCCCACGGATTGCTATACCTCTATCGGTGTCCGATGCGTACCATAGGTGCTTTACCTTTATAATTTCAAAAATCGGCTCTAGACCACCGCTCACTGTTTTCTGAAAACTTTATTTTTGCACTTTCTGCTCTCCTCGCCATCACAGCAGTATATAGGCCTAAAAGATCCGAACCAATCAGAAATGGATTCGCATTGTCTTTACTCTCAGTATAAAGGGACTCCAAGATGCACTGGGAAAAAAACACATTGGATCTAGAGTCCAGACTCTTGAAAACATTGACAAGAAAAAATACTCTTGATTCAATCGGATTTTTGCTTGAATCAAAACGAAATCCGCTTAAATTAAGAGGCTTTGGTTCTTGATTTAAGCTAGATTCTGATTGAATCAAGAATACTTTTTCTTGTCGATGTTTTTAAGAGTCTGGAATCTAGAATCAATGTGTTTTTTTTCCAGTGTGGCTTATCACTGATACATAGGAAGTTCTCATTTTTCTGAAGGTTCTTTGAATCAGAGTAAATGATCTAAATTTGTTTTTCATCAGGGTCACCAGTATCGAGTACAGTTACCCCTACGCCTAACCGAACACCGAGAAGTCCCAACCGTGCTCCTGCTCAACCGCCGTCTCCAGGGAGCAAGTCAGTGAGCGGCGATGAATCTTGTTCTGACGACCATCCAGAGGGTACGTTTCTAAATATTCCCCTTTATGTACTCTGGAAACAAAAACACATTGGATCTAGAGTACAGGCTCTTGAAAACATTGACAAGAAAAAGGACTCTTGATTCAATGAGATTTAAGCTCAAATCAAAAGGAAATCCGCTCAAATTAAGAGGCTTGGTTCTTGATTTAAGCCTAAATCCGATGGAATCAAGAGTTCTTTTTCTTGTCAATGTTTCCAAGAGTCTGGACTCTAGATCCAATGTGTTTTTTTCCAGTGCATGTCTAAAAAAAAACAGTGCAATATATTTCAGAGGTACCGCTCCGCTATCCTTTTTACAGGGCAATACAGTGGCGAGGTGTGAATGATCGATTTACCGATATTCCCCATTTGAAGCTGTGATATAAAGAATCGATTATTAAAGTGTTTGATGCGAACACCTTGTTCGTCATAGGTTCAAATGGTTGATCGATCGATGTATCGCAAAGCACTTGAAAACTTGCAATTGTATGCCCGACGTGCCGCAGATCTATAGATAATCCAAGCGTTATCATCATTGTTGTGTCAAATTCTGATGGTGAAAAGAAGTTGGCAACCTCGAATCAGCCCTATGTTAACAATGTGAAAGCAACGAGAAACACCTAAACTTTAACTTCAAATATCTCTGATAGTCGCAAAAAATCGCAAGATCTTTTTGGTAGAATTGAAGTTGGATATCTGAGGATTAAAAAAATGTCGACCACCCAGAGCATTTCGCGTCTCAAGCGAGAAATCTTCCTTTGAAGTCGACGTCTTTTTCCCGTGTATTTCTCGACCCATTTTTCGTCCACTTTCTGCCAAAATTTGAAGTAGTTTTTAACAAAAAATTTGAAAACGAACAATGATTGTGAGTCAAAAATATCTTCAAAATGACAAACTCCAAAAAAAAAATTTCACATGACGAGTTGTGAATTTTTTATTTTTGTCCACAGAGGGCCCCACTGTGCGGTAGGTTTTCTTTTGACCTATTCTTGATTTTATTACTTTCATTATCTTAATAAATGCCTCAGTTTCATGGTAAGTCCTGGTTCGTAGTCGAGGCATCATCAGAGTGAGCAAAGTCCATTTTGTTGATGAGCCTCCCCACGCTATAGTACTCTTACGTAATCTTCACTGGAAAAAAAAACACATTGGATCTAGAGTCTAGACACTTAAAAACATCGACAAGAAAAAACACTCTTGATTCAATCAGATTTAAGCTCAAATCAAGAACCAAGCCTCTTAACTTGAGCGGATTTCCTTTTGATTTAAGCTTAAATCTGATTGAATCAAGAGTCCTTTTTCTTGTCGATGTTTTCAAGAGTCTGGACTCTAGATCCAATGTGTTTTTTTTCCGGTGCTGAACTCATTAGTAAAATAGAATTTGCTCCCTTCGCTTTAAGATGCCTCAGTCATGGTCGTTTTCTCATGCCATCCATTGGGTTCCTCTCATTCTGAGAAACTACTAAATGAACTATTTTTTCCCCCGCAGTTTGCCATATCTGCGCCAAGTCCAAGAGAAATACCATCCTGCTCCCATGCAAACATGAAATGTGCACTGCCTGCACAGCAAGGATGGCAACCGAGGTCGGCAAAGACTTTTCATGCCCATGGTGCCGCGAAAAGGTGGAGAAAGTGCTTCGAAAGTCGACTGGATTCACGCCCACCCCTGACATGACGACACCACCAGCCCTTAAGTTGATGCCACAGTCCGCCCCATGAGGGTGGACATCCAAGGACACCCAGGCAGGAGACGCCGATTGCAAAGATGGATCAGATGAAGTATTCAAATCCGTGTAGATTTACCAATCTAATTTTTTTTTTTTGTGATTAGCTGGATTGTTATAACTGTTGTGAAGATTAATCCAATCACTACGTGTAATCCATGAAATCCAGTCAAAATAAAAAAAGAATTTCCAAATACACTATCATTAAACCTAAAATTAGAATTCAGGTATTCATATCTTTGAAATGCTAAAAAATATGACCCTAATAAGATAGATATCGCCAGTCTAATCTTTGAATTTTTAAATTTATTGATTGTTAAATCCCTTTTGCACATCTCCTGGTGGTTATATTATCTTTTGGTTCTTTTGGAATTAGTTTTTCTGGAATGGATAAGTAAATTACATCTTTGTTTAACAGGATCGATCTGACCTCCTCACAAAATTATTCAAATAAGATTTATAGATATTCCTCTACTAAACACCCTAATCTTACTAATGTCAGGATTTTTTGTTACCTGAGCACATCTCCTTATGGTTATATTATCTTTTGGTTCTTTTGGAATTTGTTTTCCTGTAATGGATCAGTAAACTACATCTTTGTTTATTTCTGTAAATCATGATCACTTGTTCCCTAAAATTACAGATGGAATAAGAAGTATTTTTCTTATCTTTTGGTTCTTTGGTGTTTTGGTTGATTTTATTTTTTATTTAGTTTTTTTGTAAGTGGCATGATGCTATACGAACATACAAACGTAATCCAAATGCCTCAATAGGACCGCTGCAAACTTTTGCTGGATCAAAAATGAAAGTTGTCCCTCATTGGAAACGTTTCAAAAATCACGATGTGCGCATCGGCAAAGTCTGAATTGCACTCCTTACTTCAAAATTTGCATAAAAAATCAGCGTTTTTTCGAGCTTCCAGCCTCTTAAACGATACCACGCCAAAGGTGAACATTTCGTTGGAGGAGTCATTCCATCCAACCCCTGCTCGCAAGGATACCACGCAATATACAACATAGCCGACGCCAATCTGCCAATACACATGTGATGAGACGATGATTCTAACTACCTCTTAACATTCGGCGAGTTTACATTCACATTTTTCGCGCGCTGATAGATATCCGCCTTCATTGACCTCGTGCTCTCCTCAACTTGAGCGCGAAAGCGTCGGCCATGTTGAGCAGGGATTGAATGGAATTAATCTTCCAACGAAATGTTCACCTGTGCCGTAGTATCCTTTTTGAAGCGGGAAGCTTGAAAAAACGCAAATTTCGCACGCAGATTGTGAAGTTAGGAGTGCATTTCAGAGTTTGCCGACTCACTCATCGTGATTTTTGAGACATTATCTACTTGTAAGGAACATCTCTTGTGTTTGCTCTAACAAAATTTGCAACAGGCCCATTATATACTGGAATAAAAACACATTGGATCTAGAGTCCAGACTCTTAAAAATATCGACAAGAGAAAGTACTCTTGATTCAATCAGAATCTAGCCTAAATCAAGAACCAAGCCTCTTAATTTAAGCGGATTTCGTATTGATTCAAGCAAAAATCCGATTGAATCATGAGTATTTTTTCTTATCAATGTTTTCAAGACTCCGGGCTCAAGATCCAATGTTTTTTTCCAGTGTATTCTCTCAAATATATAAAGAGCCAACTCTCTCAGTGACGTCATTTGTTTTCTGCTAGTGTTAATTTTTATTTTAATTCGTTCCATTTGAGATTCAAGTTTAAAGTAAATGGATGTTTGACCAGCAAAAGGGTAAAGAATCCACGGGGTTCACTCATAGTGAAGCGATTTTCGTCGAATTAGAGGTCAAAAGAAATTGCATTTCGATCCTCTAGCGGAACACTCCAAAAAATGTCCTAAAAAATAAGTTAAGAGAGGTTTCCTTACTTTTGGCTTCACGGAGGAGGATAAGTTCAATCGTGACTCAGCAATTTCATAATACCCAAACATAGCATTTTAGGACTTTGAATAAACATTTCTCGACACTTTACTACATTTTCTTCACTGGAAAAAAAAAACACATTGGATCTAAAGTCCAGACTCTTGAAAACATTGAAAAGAAAAAAATGTTCTTGATTCAATCAGATTTTTTCTTAGATCAAAAGGAAATCCGCTCAAATTAAGAGGCTTGGTTCTTGATTGGAGCAAAAATCCGATTGAATCAAGAGTATTTTTCCTTGTCGATGTTTTTAAGAGTCTGGACTCTAGATCCAATGCGTTTTTTTTCCCAGTGTTGACTTAAAAGTGAAAATCACCATAACTTTGGTTCGGTTTGACTCATCTCAGATTGATTTCCTGTTCTTCCCTTCAATTTCCAATTTCTGCAGACTAAGATACCCTTAAGGAATGCGAAGTCTCCATGACCCTCTGATCATAGGATTGCAGGCTCGCGGTGTACACTGGTGGGAAATCGTGTTTACTGTTGGTGGGAGGTACCACACCGAGAAATTACGTCCTTGGTATAAGCGCAATGCTTTGAAGTATTCTTACAGTCTTGCAGGCGCTAGTATGTGCCACGCCAACCTCATTGCGTTTGGCGCAATGCGTGAAGTATTCCCACAGCCTCGTAGGCGCTGATGGGTTTCACGCCCATTGCTCGGTTTGGCGCGATTATTTGAACTCGCGGAGTTGAGCATTTCATAGCTTCTCACTTTGGCTGTTTGAGGAGGTGTCTCAATGCCAAAGTCCCTTAGGAGCAAAAAATCAAAAATTTAATATTAAGTAAATTTGTGATTAGGATGGAGTTTTTGCACACTCTGTATGCATCATAGTAATTTAAACTGTGCTACGTTAAATCCTACTGAGTTTTTTCCTTCGGCAATACCGAGAAGAACAACGAACATTTTAAGCCAAGAAGGATGAGGACCTTCAAGTGACAAAATTTAGTAATTAAGAAACTTTAAAGGGAAATAATACAGGGGGAACACAAGAATACACACTATTTACATTAATAAACGATAGGCTTCAAAACTTTAAAATGTAAAGTAGGCCTTCCGGCTACGTTCTGTCAAACGTAGTTCCACCCTGTATAAACAACAATAAATACCTTTGTTCAGAATAAAAAACGGATTTCGTCTCTTAATTTACATGTTCATTAATATTCCTAAGTAGAAAGCATTGAAATTACGTTCAGATATGATTTATTAGTTTATTGCTGTTTTTCATCAGCATTTAAAAAATCAATAAATCACTCATTTAAGTATCACGAGAAAATTCACAGAGTTGGTTGACTTTGTTAGCATGTATGATTTTCATGAGCTAATGTCTCATTCGTTATGATTGAAACAAAATTATGTACGAGGAAAAAAAAACCACCAAGAAATGGCCCGAACAGTATGTAACAAGGTGGTGAAATGGTGCTGGGCTCACACCATTTTCAAAATTTTTGACTCAAATTAAAATTTGTTGAACTTCTTGGTTTTTGTTTTCCGCGAAATGGTGTGGACCCAGCACCATTTCACCACCTCGTTACGAAAGTATGTAGGTAATGCGTTGTGACTTTTACGGAACATTCTTTATGATTTTACAATTCTGAAAACGTAAAATTCCAGAAAATTCGTCTAATTTCTTCCCCTCCAAAGTATAAATTAGCACTGGAGATTCCAAAACACCACAACTGAGGTACGCCCTTTCTGCACTTAACGCTTCAATTGAATCGACGTATGCGAAAACGTCAGTTGTCCAATACAGGGTTTCATAATTGCGGTGGGTTTCTTTTGTCCCCCGACACTGATGAATAGGATCGATCCCTTTGTAAACGTTTAATTACACTTAGTGGATTATTTATAAAATTGTTCTACACTCCTAACGTCTTAAACCAGCTTGTGTCGTTAAGTTACAACGAAATTAGCCAATCAAATTCTGAAACACTGTCTTAGACATCGGACGGTTTCGCATACGTCGACTCAATACTAGACAAGGTACGAATATAAGCATTCTGATACATGTATCCTAATCAGAATTTCACGTAAAATACGATTTACACAACGAAAATTACTGAAACCAACTCCTAGCGAAGCTATTAACATTTTTATTTCACATTGGTTACGAGGAATTGGAACTGCCCGTTCACAAGAAACTCAAAGCTTTACGTGAGTCAAATCGCGCACTACAACGGTTTCAGCAATCTTCTCAATCGAGCAATGTTCATTTCCCACCATGTGTCTTTCAAATTATAAGTAATTTGCTATAGCTGAGCCAAAGTGTCAAGATTGAGGTTGCCAGATTTTTTTATCGCAGAGACGTTCATGATACGAGCGATGTGAATCACGTAGAGCATTAAGTTTTCATGAGCGGGTGGTTTGAATTCACGCACCAAGAATCATCAATATCTACGGAAAGAGTTGATTTCGGTAATATTCGTTGCGCGCATCGTGTTTTGCGTGAAATTTTGGTGAAGAAACTTGTATCAGAATGCTGAAATTCGTATCTTGTCTAGTGGTCCATTAGGTACATTCTCCTGCTCTCTGCGATGCAAGTGCGAAACGAATCCCATCTTGGCACCGATGTTGTCTCCTTGACTTTCATTGTTACAGAGCTCATTTGCCGCTACGCAAGTCGTCGCCCTTCTGACGTAAGAGAGTATCTCACTTTCAACTTGAGCCCTCTTCTCGGTATAGCGCCATTCTTTTTGGGGCTCATATGGAAATCAAGTTACGCATTTACGTTAGAGGAGCGACGAGGTGTCTAGAATCTGATGTGTGAAAAGCCGGCTCACCTCAGCATGCGCAGTTGCAAAGCTCACCGGGTCGACCCCACTAACCTACAAATCGGTGCATCCAATTTATTCGTCGCACAGTGGATCGAGTCAATTAAAGAGGTCGGATATGAAATCTCCGACTGAAACTGCAAGTTTTGATGCACTGAAAAAAAAATCTCGGTGTTTTTACTAAGAAAAGGGTAAAATTACCAAGAATTCAGGGTTCTATTTGATCCCAGTTTTTTCTTGGTAAATTTACCATTTATGAAATTGGTAATTTTATCGAGAAACCTCGGTAAAATTATGGAACTTTCTCGATTATTTTACTGGACCTTGGTAAAAACGTCAATATTTTTTATCGACTGTGGTAGAATTAC